CTGTGTGGGTTTTTGCCTTTTGCACTGACATGACAGCTTCATTTCTGTCAGTGAGGGGATCCAGCTCCATGATCTGTGAGAACCTTACAGTTCCCATATTCTGAAATCCACCCTCAGAACCTTGGGGCCTGCTCCCTTCTCTTAGAGCTGCACTGGCCAAGAGCTGCCTACCTTGGGCAGGGAGCTGCACTTTGTGCCTCTGGCCCAGGAAGGAGCAGGCAGGTTTGGGATCCCGTGACAGCAGAGAAGATACTCTGGAGCCTGGGGACTAGACTTGCCAGGTGTCCAGTCCATCTGTCCAGGTCACTGCTTCTACTTCCCTTCCACTAACAGATCTTTGAGGATCAGCTAGACCCAGGCATAACTAGGATTTGCAGGTGTGAGGGTGGGGGATAAACTGCCCCAAGGGCTCTCTATTACTAAGTTCACAGATGCCCCCACCTGCGAGGAGAAAACCAGAGATGAGTGGGGCAGTGTGGTCAGTCTGTAATATCCCCTAATTCACTGTAAGCATTTGGCCAAAAAAAAAAGAGAGAGAGAGGAATAGCTAAAATTGTGTAGGTGACTCCATTGCCCATTCTGTGGTCCCCTCCGCAAACCTTTGCCCCAAGGTGAGTACAGGTGGGAGTCGTCAGCCAATGAAGTCATATAGTTCTAGAGCCTTTCGCGGTGTAGGCATCTTGCCACTGGAGGATGAATGTTAAGCTTAAAGATGGGCCTTTTCCACACCCCTGTATACAAGTAGTCAGTATTTGTGGGCCCAGCTAAGGAAGCTGAATTGACCTGCAGAGGTTGGTGGTCCCAAGACAGAGTCGTGCCCACAGGCTTGTTAATGGGAAGAACAAGTACAAAAATGTTTAACCAAACATTTTACTATGAATGCTGCCAGCTACCCAGCATCTAGATTTAAAATTATTAACATTTTGTCACATTTGTTTTTCTATCATTCTGTATATGTATATATATATATTTTTTCTGACGTAGTTTATAAGTTGCAAGGTCATGGGTCTTTATTCTTAAATGCTTTGCCTGCATATCCCGACAACTAGGCGTTCTCCCACATACTGGTCCAGTATTGCAGTCAAGACAAGTAATTTCCTCCCAACATCTGTCCGATCCGATCTATATTCAAATTTCTCCCTTTGGCTCCCAAATAACGTTTCCCTGGTTTTGGAATCAGGCTCCGATCATGGTGCACACGTTGCAATTTTTTAGTTGTGGTTTTTAAATCTCCTTGAGTGGTGAGGTCTTTTCTCCGCCCACTTTGAGTTTTTTAAATGACTTTGTTTTAGAGACCAGCAGGCCTGCTGCCCTGTCGAAGTCCCACATTCTGGATTTGTGGGATTGTTCCCTCATAGCGTCATGTAACCACTTCCTCTGTCCCCTGTGTTTTCAAGGGTAATTCAGGCTACTTGGGTTTTTGCCTTTTGCGCTGAATTGACAGCTTCACTCCTGCCTAAGATGCGCCTCCACGGTCACCTGTACCAAGTGCCAAACGAGCAGAGGGGCCAGTGGAGCTGGCCTCCTCCAGGAGCCCAGGGAGGGCCAGGGAGGCTCCCTGGAGAAGGCACCACCATGCCAGGTCTGGGAGGAAGGGTTGGAGGGCTCTCTGGAAGGACCTTGGGCCAGGCAGCCTTAGGGCCCACTGGGAAGGAGACACCTCTGGCTCTGGAGGGCCTGTCCTGTCCCCTTTGACTTGGAGATGGGCCACAGAACACCCAACACAGCATTTCTCTCTGTCTCTTTCTCTGTTGTATAGGCCCAGGGTTCTCACTTCTGGAGGCCTGTGGTCTGTGTGCACTGGAGCAGAGCTGGGCCTCTGTGACATCCCAGGGAAGGTCCTAGATGTGAAGCCGCCTCCCCTAGCTGTGGTGTGCAGAGAGCACTGAGGGAGGCCCGGGGCTGTGAAATCTCCCTTTGGGTGCATTTAGCAGTGGCCTGACCATTTTTCTCCTAGGGCTGCTGCTCCCCTCTGTGAGATGAGCAGCTGCAGCAGGGGTTTTCACACATCTAGGAAGGAAGCAGTTCTGCCCTGACAAAGTGAGGATGGGGGCCCAGACCTGCCTCCAGCCTCAGACCCTCAAGGCAACACTGGGTTCCTGGTTTGCCATGTCTGAGCTGGATGCCTTGTCAGCTCAGACAGCCAGAGTTCTTTTAGCTCCCCTGAGGGATGGCATTGACTTCATGTGGAGTCAGTGCCAAGGGCCTAGGGAAGACTCTGGCTGTGTTTTATCCTAAGAAGTTCATCCCTCCTGCTGTTCTTCCTCTTTCTTGGCCCTGGAGGAGAATGAGGGAGGAGAAGGTTTTCTATGACTGTGCTAGCTTTTATTATCAACAAGAGGGCTCCTTTTGTAATTTGTGCATGAAATTCATGTCATTTCCTGGGGAGAGAAGAGGGCTGACTGGAGAGGGTGGGGGGTATGCTAGGGGAGCAGACAGACGTTTCCTTCCCTTGTGGGGGGTGGGGAAAAGGGGTGGAGATGGGGTGCTACCCAGCTCACCTGTGAGGGCTCTCGAACCAGCCGTTTTGGGTTGTGTTAAAGGTGAGAACCTTCCTCCATTAATGTACAATCTTGAACTAACTGCTAATAAAGTGGGGTTCTGTTTGTACACATTGGTACTGTCTGTCTGACCTTTTTTGCAAGGCCTGCAGGGGAGGGTGGAGATAGGGACATTTGTCTGCATGGCCAAAACCTGCCCACTCTGCCTTCCACATGTGTGCACCATCCACACAGTGACTTGGTCATATCAGATCTTTTCCACTGGGTTATAAATTGAAGCTTTTCCAGATTTAGCAGGGGTCTATCCCAGGGCAGCCACATGGAGCATCTTAGATGAAAAAGCTTGGACAACTGGGTTGTTCTGAAGTGCTGGGGATTGAGACCTGGACTGGGGTGGGGGTGGGGAGGCGGGGAGAGTGACTTTACTGTTTTGATCTTCAGTTTCTCTCAACTTTCAGGGGTATGGAAGGGTTGGACTCAGTGGCCTCACCTGGAGAACTTGCCCAAAATGCAGATTCCCAGCCCTCTTCCAGAAATTTAGCTCTAGCAGATGTAGGGTGGGGACCAAAAATCTGCATTTTAAACAACTTCCCCAGTGTGTAAGGTGCCCCACTTTGGGAAACCCTGGCTCAGATCGATGGTTCCTATGGATTCTAATTAATGTGGACAGCCCCACTGTCCCAGAAAAACTTTGGGCAAAACAACTTTCTTTTTTTTTTTTTTTTTTTTGAGACAGAGCCTCAAGCTGTCCCCCTGGGTAGAGTGCCGTGGCATTACAGCTCACAGCAACCTCAACTCCTGGGCTCGAGCGAGTCTCCTGCCTCAGCCTCCCAAGTAGCTGGGACTATAGGCGCCCGCCACAACGCCTGGCCATTTTTTGATTGCAGCCATCATTGTTGTTTGGCGAGTCCGGGCTGGGGATTCAAACCCGCCACCTTAGGTGTACGTGGCTGGCGCCTTAGCCTGTTGAGCTATAGGCGCCGAGCCGTCAAAACAACTTTCTAGCCCCTTCTACCCCCAGCCTATCTGTAGGGTTTGGGGACATTGCTCAGCTGAGGAGAGAGGCCTTGCCAGCTGTCTGCGGTGCATGCGCCTGGGCCTGCTCCCTCAGGATCCCCGGGGAAGCTTTAAAAGGTGCACATTCCTGGGCTGTCCCAGGAGAACCTCTGGGAATAGACCCAGCACTGTGTATTTTAGATAAACTCCCCGATGCTTAGGAAAGTTTGGGAACACTAAATCAGGCCACCAAGTGTGAGCCAGAGAAGATCCACAGAAAATGTGCATAGACAGGTTCTGAGGGGCAGAAGAGGGGATGCTGATTCCCAGGACCCGGGAGAGTGGACTGAGGGGTCAAAGCAAACATACCAACTGCCAGCCCCAGTGGCACTAGGGTGGGACCTGCAGGGAACTCTGAAGTCAACTGGAAGCTTGTACAGGTCATATGACCATCACCAAGATGAACATAGCTGAAGGCTGTGTTAGCTGGAACAGATCTAGAAGGCAAGAAACAGGGCTCAGACTGTATCAGAGGGTTTTGAATTTTAAAACAACTGAGATTCTTTTTTCAAAGTCACTTAATTGAGAAAAACAGGTAAAAGTGAGGGTTCTCTGATGGGAGTAGAGGTGAGGTTCTGGTCTCATCCGCTCAACACCTCCCTGTCTGCCGTCCTATCTGGAGCTCTAAGACCCCTGGAAACACCCTGTAAAAACCCAGCCCTGCTGTTCTCCAAGGTCCTGAGAGTCCTGTAATTCTTTTTTCTTTTTTTGAGACAGAGTCTCAAGCCCTGCATAGAGTACCATAGTGTCACAGCTCACAGCAACCTCAAACTCTTGGGCTTAAGCGATTCTCTTGCCTCAGCCTCCCAAGTAGCTGGAACTACAGTCACCTGCTACAATGCCTAGCTATTTTTTGGTTGTAGTTGTCATTGTTGTTGCCAGGCCAGGGCTGGATTCGAACCCGCCAGCTCTGGTGAATGTGGCTGGCGCCATAGCCTCTGAGCTACAGGGGTTGAGCCCTGAGAGTCCTGTAATTCTAATAGGTTGAATGAGTAAGAGTCGGTCAGCCTCTCCTCATCCC